AAAACAATGCATGTTTGTTAAGGCCTATGACTTAGTAACACGTACCTGTAGATTGATGTTGTGGAGAAACGGGTGTCATGTCCCTCCAACACAAAGGGAGGATCCTCCGACCAGGCGAGGTGATCATGCCTGGCGGGCCGCGGCCCAACGGTTGATGTTGGGAAGTTGTAAATATGCTAATCGGCGAGGGAATTCTTTATATCGCGATACAGGATTAGCAATTCTTATTTTAGTAGTTACTCCGTAGTTCGGTGTGTCTTCATTAGATGGCGCTGTAGTATGTTTCTGTTTCTTTGTATGTTTGAGTCGCCACAATGTCAAACATTTTATTTCTTATTATAGTGACACTCTCTCTCTCTCTTATTATAGTGATCTCTCGCTACCGGCCATAATTCGCTCCATGGCCGGTAGCGACAGTTGTTTTACCGCGGTCGCAACCTTCTGCGACTGCAGGGGCGTGCGCTCCTTGTAGGCATAAATGCAGTGCTTTACTTGCTATTCACAGACATTTTAGTAAAACGTTGGTACGTTTTAGATGACTTTAATTAATAGTAAATAAATGAAAAAACAAAATATAATAACTTAAAAACGCCTACTATTTACAAATAGCATAGCACCACACAAACATTGTTTGCCAGGTGTTTACCGAAAAGCAAGCGCAAAGCAACTCATGCCGTCGCCTCGCGCAGGACATTTGTTCGCATGTGTGTAGTAATTTTGGTGTCCGTGCATAGTTCGCATACGCACACACCCATTTATTTTATATGCAAGACTACAGCCGCAGGATACTGCAGTTGGCCCTTCGGGTCCCGCGCTTATCGTTGTCGTTAGTATTCGGGTATAATCGGAAGTGTTCGATGCCTATAAATCCACCCAATTACAATAGTCAGAAATATAATAAATCATGTATGCGGATTATGAATTTTGAATATGGTAAGGTTTTATGTTGTTAGCAGATATGTTTCTTGTTCGCGGGGGCCATTTTGATTTTATCATGTGATAAGCATTGTTTACTATATATATATAGTATAATTATAGTTTTATTTGAAAGTGTGTACATGTAACAGTTTATTACTGAGTTCCGTTGATTTTTTTTAAATGTTATTTGATTGTGAGGTATGTGTGGAAAATTTGTGTAAAATATAAATTAAAAATAACAAGTTCTCACAATTGTCATTCAGTGAAAAGATTAAAATTGTGTCTAAAGGTCTGTAACTATCACTCACTTGGATAAGATATTTGAGGTGGCCGAAATCTTGAGTTTATTTACATTGGGATATAGTAATCTCAAGTAACCTTAACCTTGAATATCAGAAAATTGAAGATGACCAGGTGAGTAGTTATAATATTTTAGCTTATTATTTTACTTATTAGAATTTCCTCCGCCTCGATCTATCGCCGATCTATCGCAGTTTTGTCAGTGTTCCCGTTGAAGATGGACGCCGCCTAAAGAGAGGTCAATTTGAGACGGAGCCCGCACCAGGAGCGGGCCGGCGCTGGGAGGGGTCCAGAAGGAGATAGCTACCTGGACCCCTCCTAAACTGGAAGCGCAAAGAGGGCACACCGTGTGGTTTTAGTCGGTTCGAGTCCGACACACCGCCCCGCCGAACGAGAGCCCCGGCGGGGTGACGGTCCGAGGGGATTTCTACACGTAAAAAAAAAAAAAAAGGGTTTGTTTCAAGTTTTCCTTCTCTTTGCAGTGCTGTTGTCCTGCTTAGTTTGCTTCCTTAGTCGGCTCTTACGACACCCACGGGTTGAATTGGGGTGGTGACAATTTGTATTCTTAATCCGTCACCACACGGATTTCAATAACTTAGATAAAATAGTTTTAAGAAAGGTGAATACTGATAATTTGAGATTTGGTCTTTCTGTCCTTCGCGGTTGGATTCGATTCTTCGAATGTTTACTACTTCGATCAACAATAGCAACTAGAAATCGGGTCGGCGCAAAAAATACGTCTCGAGAAATAAGAGCGCACTTGAGACGTGAGCTCTTATTTTGTTTGGTTCGCTTAAAACACAGCCAATGTAAACACGTCTCATAATGCCGCATTGTGTATTCAAAAGTTGCAAAAATAATTCCCGAAAACGAAATTTAACGACCGGAGTATCTTACTTTCGGTAAGTACATGAAGAATAAGTTGTGTTTTAAGCTTTATACTAATAAATAATATCAAATTTTGAACAAAATTACCGATTTTAAACCAACGCTACAAATGTTTGGCCAAGGTTCGCCAACACACGCACAAACTTTTGTTTAACAGAACAGTAGATGCATGGAGTAGATTTATGGTGTAATAGTTTAAAAAAAAAATCTTAACAGAACTTCAAAATTGGTTGGTTAAAATTAGTTAAAGCTACTTTTGTGTGTGTTTGTTAGCTTTCCTTTTTTATTTTAGCTTTCCTAGCAATCCGTTTACGTGTGCAGAGTGGATCTCGATTCTCGCCAGAGAAAGAAGAGATGACTTTTATAAGCCAGCTAAGAATTCGGTTATATGCTCGGATCACTTTGATAAGTTAGATATATCCGAAAATTATAACCGACGTCGATTGGTTAAAACAGCAGTTCCTAAATTACAGGTACATTCATTAGTGATTCACAATCGAAATGTAATTTTATATCTGTTTTTCTTGTCTGCTTAAATGTATTTGTGACATGATAAATCATTGTGTTGTGGGAATTCATGTTTATCTATTATTAAAGAGTCTTTTCAAAAACACAGATTCAATCCCCGCCGAACGACCCACAATTAGCAGCACCCAATACTAAAGTCTTAGTATCTGACATTGAAGTGCAAGTGAGTCATTTTTTTTAGCAGTAGATAGATAGATAGATAGAACTCTTTATTTGTAAACCATTTTAAAAGAAGCATGATAGTTACATGAAGGTGTTAGGTATACAATGTCTTCTACAATCTTCCAGGCAACCTTAGGATGGATCAAAATGTTCGGGAGAGATAGTAGTAGTTGATGGTGAAATGAGTTTTTCAGGTTAATTACTAACGAATAGTAAAGAGATAATAACTACATATATATAATAAATATACACATTCGCAAATTTATATAAATACATATACATATTTATATTCATAAAAACAAATACTTATACATACCAGCAAATATACATACATAAGTACTTAGTAGTAGGTGTTGTGAATTTTTTGTGTGAGATGATAAATTATTATTTCATTGAACTTTTGGATTATGTATCTTCACAAAATCATTTCAGTAAAAAAATTGGACTTAATATTTCTTATACTCTAACAATTTTGCTACGTGATAATTTTTATTTGAGGTTTCTAGTTAATTCAGTAACGTATATTTGCGCCTTTGCAGATAATTAATTCCAGACATACATTTTTTTCAGCCTCTATCATCGAGTTCTGGATTAGACATCGCACAAAAGGCCATCTATAGCCAAGACCAAGCAGAGCATATTTCTGTTATGACATCTCCTGTTGCATCATTATCAGATTTAATATCAGTTTGTGAAACACCTAGAAAGAGGTTTCTGAATAAACAGTTACTCACTGCTCGCAAAGTCATAGATAATAAATCAAAAAAAAATCAAACATTGCAAAAAGTGAAGAAGAGATTAGTAAAAAAAAAACAGTTCATTAAAAAATATAGTTAGTTTGTTGAAAAAAAAAACAAACTGTAGATGAGACAGTCTTGATGGACTTATCAAGAAATGTTGAAATTGCAGAAGTGTTTCATGGAATGTACGTAAAGAACAAAAAACAGCGTAAAAAACCATTTTCTAAATATCCACCTGGTGCCAGAAAATTTGCCTTAACGCTCCATTTTTACTCCCCTGCTGCTTATAAGTACGTGCGTAAAATTTTCAACACATGCTTACCACACCCTCATACGTTGTATGAATGGTATCGGAGTGTCGATGCGGAACCCGGATTTTGTGCCGAAACTTTAAACAGGTTAGAAGCAAAGGCAAAAGAAAGTAATAAAAAAATATTATGCGCCCTTGTAGCCGATGAGATGGCACTAAGGAGACAAAAAATATGGACGGGTAAGCGCTATGAAGGTCTGGTAGACATGGGTTTGGGAAGCGATGACAACAACCAAATGGCTACTCAGGCATACGTCTTAATGTTGGTTGCAATTAATGATAGTTGGAAATTACCACTGGCTTACTTTTTCATTGACACTTTAAAGGCAGACATGAAAGCCAATTTGATTAATATAGCATTAGAAAAATGTGAAAAAATAGGGGTACAGATTCGTTCGGTTACATTTGATGGTTGTAAAAGTAACATTGCAACCATGAAAAAGTTAGGGTGCGAGATAGATAATGCAGAAAATATTAAAACAAATTTTAGACATCCTTGTGCAGATTATAATATTGTTGTATTTCTAGATGCTTGTCATATGGTAAAGTTAATGAGAAACACTTTTGAATCAAAAAAAATATTACACACATCTGATCAAAAACAGATTAAATGGCAATTCGTTACTAAATTACACAATTTACAAGAGGAAAACAGTTTACATTTAGCAAATAAATTATCTCATAAGCACATATATTTTAAAAATCAAATAATGAACGTCAGATTGGCCACACAGTTATTGAGCAGGAGTGTTTCAAAAGCATTAGAATTTTGTGACAAAACTTTGAAAATTCCTGAATTCCAAGATTCTGATAGTACTGCGGAATTCATAACTTTTTTAAATAATCTATTTGATATCTTTAACACACGAAATTTGAAAGACTATGGTTTTAAAAAGCCTATTAGTAAAAATAATTCTGCGCAAATATTGTCGTTTTTGTCAAAAGCAAAAGATTATTTACTATCGTTGTCCATTAAAGTTCAATATAAAAAAACTGTTAAAATAGGCAATGAATCAAGAAGAGTGTTCTGCAATAAATTAGTACCGTTATTTAAGACACAAAATAATACTGGTTTGCTTGGGCTTTTGACGTGCATCAGTAGCTTGACATACTTATTTCAAACTTTAGTTGAAACTGACATCCTTACATTTTTATTAGCCTACAAATTCAGCCAGGACCATATTGAGTTGTTTTTTGGCGCTATTAGAAGTCAAGGTGGGCATAACAATAACCCGAACAGCCGACAATTCAAAGCAAGCTTTAAAAAACTTTTGTCTCATTTGGAACTGAGTTCAAAATTTACTGGCAATTGTTTTCCACTTGACAACATACCAATCCTATCTGGAGCTCCATCTCTCGATAAGATTAATAACACCTCGATAGGGTATCGCCTTGATGTAAGTGAAGAGAGAAACTCAAGTGAAACAGAGGTTTTAAATAATAGAAACGTACAGCAAAGTTTCCAAAAATATCAAACAAATTGCAATAGTCTTTCTTCTACTGTGGATGAAAGTCCATCTTCTAGTGTTATGCCACAAATAGTAGGGTATATTTCGGGATTTGTTGTCAGTAAATTGGTAAAAAAACTAAAGTGTGACCAGTGTATGAAGAACTTGTGTGCAACAGAGAAACAATTCTTTCACAAATTAATAGACCTAAGAGACATGGGAGGGTTATTCTATGCCTCTACCGATGTATTTAATATTTGCATGAAAACTGAAAGCGTGATCCGAAAAAAAAGTATGATAGCAACTTTATATGTACAACAGTTTTAAAATTATATATTGACAAGAATGTGTTTCCTGGAGGGGATGAACATGATCACGCAATTACTTTACTCAAATCAGTAGTTGAAAAATTTATTGACGTAAGGTTACATTACATATGTAAAAAAGAAACGGGAGATATACAAAACAAGTCAAAACGAAAATTGTATAACAAACTCAACTTATTTAAAGGAAATTAGTTCAGGTACGCAAAATAGAAAGAAAATCTTTATGTTGAATCATTAATAAACATTTTGATTTTTGATTTATTAATTGGACTGAACTGTACTTGTATTACGAAGATTGTATAAAAAGATGTGGAATTTAGAGATATTTTATTTAGTATATCTGTGCGGGTCCTGCTTTTGGTGTCAGGGCGGGTCGCTTAAAGCATTAAATGCCTACATTTTTTTGCATTAGCTTGTTCGTTTGGATGAGTTTTATTCGCGAATTTATTCACTCGCGCGTAGTTTTTAATTTAAGATATCTCCTAACATATTCATTTAAGTTATATGGTGTAAGGGGCTATTATAATGTGTATGAATTACTTAAGATAACTAACGTATTTATTTTGATAACGATTAATACTGTATCCGTCTAAATAGCTTTTGCAAATACCATATTATATGTGATAAAGTAAATACACATACATATTACACAAAAACGTAACGTTAATAAAATAATAAGTAATGTAAAGATACTAACAAACATACATAGATGTCTGAAACATAAAAAGTAAGCAACTAATATTTTACGTTCATATTATAAATTATTTTAGTGTTCAACGCGACTCCATACCTCCTGTAGTAAAACTAGAAGAAGCAAAAATAAAACAAAACAAAACGATGTAGCTCTCAAGGCAATAACGAGAAAAAGTACTTTATTTGTTGCTCCATAAGGTTGATTTTACACTAAATGTTATTTAAGTTATGTCTTTTCATTTAAAAGTGATAGGAGTAATTTATTGCTTTGCTCTTTTTTTGCAACGAATGATCGTAAGTATTAGATAATATTTTGAAGATTTGTGACTTTATTACTGTGTACCATAGCTGTAATTAGGTTGAACTTAAAACTATTTTAAAACTTTTCCATCCGTTTGTTAGTAAACGAATGTAGCTGCATAAGTATATATTCACGCGGACAGCATTTAGCTTTGACTTTGTACGTGACCCTTTATCTAGTTGCTATTGTTGATCGAAGGTTTACTACATTTAGCACACAAACTCCCTTTAAAAAAATGGCAAGTCCGTGGAGAGAAGGATAAGCAAACTGTTTCAGAAAATAAAGCTCGAATTCAAAAAGAATTTAGAGAAAAGTGTGGCCTAATTATAGACAAACCCAAACCGGGTTTCGGCAGTAGCAACGATGGAAACACCGCCAGACGTTTTTTCCAAAATCCAGACTTGTCAGCTCAAATAACTAATATAGACGTAGGTTTAATAAAAAAATCACATTATTTTAATTATTATATCAAGTGAATTTGATATAGATGCAGGAAAGTACAGGGTATTTGCACTTGATACTGCTAGATATTTCGTTTCTATATACCCGTGGTACAACATGCCACCTACTCTGCATAAGTATTTCATTCATGGACCAGAAATTACATCCTTTTGCACTTCCCACTATCGGACAATTAACAGAAGAATCACAGGACGCAAGAAACAAGACCTTTAAGAGCTATAGAGAGCATAATTCGAGAAAATGTAGCAGAGAAAAATCTAATAGAGATATTTTTTAATGAGTTCTGATCCCGTAATCACCAGTAAGCAAAAGTTAGTCAAAAATAAAGTGAAAAATATTCCTAAAGAAGCACTGTTCATGTTGAAAGCTCCATTTCTAAATAACTCCGATGATAATACTACAGTCGATGACGATCATAATGATAAAGATGATCATGCTTTAACATATATTCAATAGGTATCATACTGCTCGTCTGCCCCCTCTAACATAAAAAAAAAAACGATACTTGAGAAATACCGCTTTTTTTGTAAAAAATATTTAATGTGTTATTTTTAAACAATAAAAATGATGATATTAATTACCTGAATTGTTTTTTTCTGTTATTACATATGTCTATGAGAACACTCGGTCCACTTTAGAACGTCTAACGGCTTTAGTATATTTGATGCAGGGGCGTACGCTCCTTGTAGGCAGAAATGCAGTGCTTTACTTGCTATTCACAGACATTTTAGTAAAACGTTGGTACGTTTTAGATGACTTTAATTAATAGTAAATAAATGAAAAAACAAAATATAATAACTTAAAAACGCCTACTATTTACAAATAGCATAGCACCACACAAACATTGTTTGCCAGGTGTTTACCGAAAAGCAAGCGCAAAGCAACTCATGCCGTCGCCTCGCGCAGGACATTTGTTCGCGTGTGTGTAGTAATTTTGGTGTCCGTGCACAGTTCGCATACGCACACACCCATTTATTTTATATGCAAGACTACAGCCGCAGGATACTGCAGTTGGCCCTTCGGGTCCCGCGCTAATCGTTGTCGTGAGTATTCGGGTATAATCGGAAGTGTTCGATGCCTATAAATCCACCCAATTACAATAGTCAGAAATATAATAAATCATGTATGCGGATTATGAATTTTGAATATGGTAAGGTTTTATTTGTTTAATTAGCAGATATGTTTCTTGTTCGCGGGGGCCATTTTGATTTTATCATGTGATAAGCATTGTTTACTATATATATATAGTATAATTATAGTTTTATTCGAAAGTGTGTACATTTAACAGTTTATTACTGAGTTCCGTTGATTTTTTTAAAATGTTATTTGATTGTGAGGTATGTGTGGAAAATTTGTGTAAAATATAAATTAAAAATAACAAGTTCTCACAATTGTCATTCAGTGAAAAGATTAAAACTGTGTCTAAAGGTCTGTAACTATCACTCACTTGGATAAGATATTTGAGGTGGCCGAAATCTTGAGTTTATTTACATTGGGATATAGTAATCTCAAGTAACCTTAACCTTGAATATCAGAAAATTGAAGATGACCAGGTGAGTAGTTATAATATTTTAGCTTATTATTTTACTTATTAGAATTTCCTCCGCCGCGATCTATCGCCGATCTATCGCAGTTTTGTCAGTGTTCCCGTTGAAGATGTACATGAATAGTAGTACATCTAAGACTTGTTCTGTTGGCATGGTTTCCGACTTAGAGATCCATCGCGTGGCTGTGGCTAAGCTAAAAATCTATAAAAGAAAAAGTTTTTGTGACCGACTACTCTTCCGCATACCTAGTGTCATAATCCTGTGCACGCCGCTGATTTGATGGCAGTTATAAGGGTCTCCTGCCCCAGTGTGCGGCGTGCGGTTTTAGTCGGTTCGAGTCCGAAATGCCACCGATAGGTGGTGTTTGGTATTCCGGGGCTCTTCAATAAGTATGACTTCTTTCGGTAGGTAACGTTTAATCAGCTTTTACAATGAGCATATATTATGTATAAATTTTAAAAATTAACAAAATGGTATATAATACAAGGCAGCGCTTGAACGTGCCGTGCGGTAGGTTTCTATATTGAAGTTATTTTTGTAATGTTCGTGGTGGGCGTTACGACCACGGGCCGTTTACGAAGACCGTTGTATGTCTTGCGACGGTGAACCGTTTATAGGTACAGCTAGGTAATGGTGAGCGTAGACATCTTCCCCCCCTCGAAGACCTTGGGACTTCGAGGATCTTCATCACGCTCATTAGGTAGCGGGCATAGGTTTGTGATGGCACGACGGATAAGACCCCGGGCGGTGTTAACATCTGCGACGCGTGCGATACCATCAGCGCCAGGATATAATTTATAGATGCGGCCCATGTGCCACTTAAGTGGTGGTATGTTTGGTTCCTTGAGGACCACCATATCGCCTTCAACAAGCTTTCCTTCATTGACGCGCCATTTACTTCGCTGCTGTAGCTCGTTAAGGTACTCTGTGCGCCATCTCTCCCAGAATTGCTGCCGAATCTTCTCGATTTGTTCGTATCTTCTGAGACGACTTGTATTGAATTCGGTAAGGGACGGAGATGGCAACGAAGTGAGAGGTTTACCGATGAGAAAGTGCCCGGGACACAAAGGATAAAAGTCTGTAGGATCGGCTGATAAAGGGGTTAAAGGTCGAGAGTTCAAAATTCCTTCGACCTGTGCAAACAAAGACGACAATTCCTCGAAAGTGAGATTAGTGTTCCCTATCATCCGAGTTAAATGATGTTTGGCGGCCTTTACGCCTGCTTCACTAAGTCCGTTAAAATGCGGTGAATAAGCAGGCGAGAACTTAAATTGAATAAATTCACCGGCAGCGTATGACGAAATGGATTCGCGACAAGATTCTAAAAATCTCCTGAATTCGTTATTTGCACCCACAAAGTTTCGGCCATTATCGCAGTAAATCACGCTAGGCTTTCCTCTGCGAGAGATGAAACGGTTTAAACACATTATAAATGCCTCCGCGCTCAAGTCTGATGCAATTTCCAAATGAAGTGCTTTGGTTGTGAAACAAACAAAAATACATAAGTAGCTTTTTACTATCCTGCAACCACGCCCCTTTCGGTCACGAGTTGGAAAAGGACCGGCGAAGTCGACACCGGCAACCTCAAATGCAAAGGTAGGATTGACTCGAGCGGAGGGTAAGTTTCCCATAATTGGAGTAACTGTTTTAGCTTTTAGAATTTTACATATCTTACAATTATTTACAGTGGATTTAGCTAGTTTTCTTCCCCCAACAGGCCAGAATAACTGTCTAATGTTAGTCAGTAAGAGCTGTGCACCCCCATGACACAACTTTATATGTTCGTGTTCGAACAATAATTTAGTAAAGTGATTTTTTGAATCTAAAATTATCGGATGTTTTTTACTAAAGATTTCAGATGAGTTTTGAATTCGTCCGCCTACTCGGAGAACGCCCTTTTGGTCTACAAATGGTCTGAGGGAGAGTATTCGAGACTTCGGAGGTAAGCATTTTTTATTATTTAATAATCCTAGTTCAAGTTCGAAACATTCCCTTTGATGTTGTTTTACTAGATGTTCTAATGAGGATTGCAGTTCATCTGCTGTCAGATGACCAGTAGTTTTATTGTTTAAGTGTTTTAGATTGTAGGTAAAACGATATGCATAAGCTAAACTTCTTAGTAAAATTTTAAACTTAGAGAATTTTTCACAATTTATCAAGTTGTCAGAAGTTAATTTTAACGTTGTAGTGCATGTTTTAGATGTAGTTTTAGTTTGATTTAGTTTGAGTTGAGTACTTATTTTGGTTTTCATTTCAGGTATATCGGAGCTGAGTTTTATTACCTCTGGCCAGGCTGATGGCCTTTCTAAAAGGAACGAAGGACCACGCCACCATAAATCAGTTTCAGCAACTTGTGTTGGACTGACGCCACGTGACGCTAAATCTGCAGGGTTTTGAATGCCTGGAACATGCCTCCAGGATCCAACAGCTGTTAGTTGTTGAATCTCTGCGACACGGTTTGACACAAACGTTTTGAGATTCTGTGACGGAGTACGGATCCATCCGAGTACTACAGAAGAGTCAGTCCAATAATATTTTTTTGTGATTGTGAGCTGTAAAGCTTCTATTACTTTCGTGCTTAACCTAGCAGCCAATAAGGCTCCACATAATTCAAGACGTTTAATGGTCTGGACTGTCACCGAAGAGACCCTTGTTTTCGCGCATAGCAAGTTAACTGTTACTTTACCTGAACAAGTGATCGAGCGCAAATAAACGCACGCAGCGTATGCATCTTGTGACGCATCGCAAAATGTATGCATTTCAATTATAGCTTCGGAATTGTTGCCAAGAACAAATCTCGGAATTTGGAAATTAATTAGGCTTTTAAGTCCCGACACAAACGAAAACCATGATTTTGACAAATTTGTGGGAATAGCATCATCCCAATCTAACTTTGAGAGCCATAAATTTTTAAGTATTAATTTTGGTATGATTGTGCACAAACTCAACAACCCGAGAGGGTCAAATAGTCTAGCTGAGTTTGAGAGAATAGACCGTTTGGTCGCTACAGATGAACCTTTTATTTTGACAGGAAAGTTAAAGGTATCCGAGCGTGGATCCCATTTGAGTCCCAACGCACTAGATTGAGTACTGAAGTCTAAATCTTTAGGTATTAAGATGCTCGTGTTATCTTTCAGGATGGACCCGATGTTAGAACGAAATTTACGCAATGGCAAGTGCGCTGTATGAATAATTTCCGTTATTGAATTTATTGTATAACATAGGTCTTCCTTTGAACTACTTCCGGTGATGACGTCATCAATATAAAAATCATGTTTTATTACGTTTGCAATTCTATTATCATTGCACTCGTTAGCGAGCTGAACTAGGCACCGTGTACTTAAGAACGGCGCAGAAGATGTACCGTATGTAATTGTATTTAGTTGGTATATTTTAATTGGCTGATCCGACTGCTCACGCCATAAAATCATCTGGAGATGACGTTGTTCGGGTTTAACTAGAATTTGTCGGTACATCTTCTCAACGTCTGCAGTTACTACATATTTGTGTTGTCTAAATCGCAGCAATATGGAGAAGAGGTCGTCTTGGACTACTGGTCCCACGTATTGGATATCGTTAAAAGACAATCCTGACGACGTTTTCGACGACGCATCAAAAACGACGCGTAAGCGCGTAGTTTCACTATTGTGTCGTATCACAGCGTGATGAGGGAGGTAGCATCCCTTTTCAGGTTTAGAAATCTCACTCATATGTCCCAGGCTCCCATACTCTTGCATAAATTTAGTATATTCCTCTTTAAATTCCGAGTTTTGTTTCATCTTTTTTTCCATTTGAATAAGTCGCCTTTCGGCTGTTTTAAATGAGTCGCCTAGAACATCTGGTGAATCACGCAGAGGGATTCGTACACAAAATCTACCATCCCCTTCGCGCTGCGTAGTTTCATTATAAAGTGTTTTACAATAATCGTCACTATTTGATGTAGGTTTACTGTTAGGAATTTCTTCCAACTCCCAAAACTTGACAAGTTGCTCTTGTATAGTTTTACTAAAGTTGCAATAGACCTTGTTAGGCCGTTTATAATAATTAACCCAATTACGGCCGGCTACGATCCATCCAAGGAGTGTCTCCCGAAGAACGGGTTTATCTCGTCCGAGCTTCACTTGAGAAGAACCCAGAACGTCCCAGAAGATCTCTGCGCCTAATAGCAGATCAATGTCTCCTGGGCGAAAGAAGGCCGGATCCGCTAATTGGAGGTTGCTGGGTATATCCAGCTCATTCACGCGGATTTCCACTTGAGGAAGAACGTCGGTAATAACTGGTAAGACATAACATGTCACATCACAGCTGTACGAGCTATACGTCGACTGCACCTTGATATTGCAGTGTTCGGCAATGCCTACTGTCGCATTTTGAAGACCGGACACATATTGAGATTCTTTTGTTGTAACACAAGCTAACTTAGCCCGAGCCGCCTCCGTAATAAAGGAATATTGCGAGCCATTATCTAAAAGGGCGCGTAATTTAAATATGTTGCCATTGTTTGACACCTCAACCACAGCCGTAGCAAGAAGAGCCAGGTTTGAGGAGCCAGCAGACACTGTAACTATCGGATTAGGGCTGGCCGACCCGTTTTTACTATTAATAGTTGCTTCAAGGCTATTAGGTAAGTTGTTCGTGGATGGTTCCACGTTATTTTGTATTTCATGCCGTGGAGATGATGATGATTGCGATTGACGTGGTTGAGAACCACTGGGTAAGTTGTTTGATCTATGAAGTAAAGTATTGTGCCTCCTTTTGCAGACGCGGCAACCCGCAAGGCGGCATTGGTACGATAGATGATCATTACGTAAGCAATTACTACATATTTTCCATTGATAAACCTTTGCATTTCGTTCTTGAACAGACATAGATTTAAATTTATTACAATCGTATAGTTTATGATCTTGTTTACAGGCTAAACAATTACCACGGGTAACTGTATCGAGCGGAGAAGAAACAAATGATTTAGACCTATTATAATTGTTACGATTTTCGACCTTATTATTATGGTTAGAATTATTTAAAGTTTTGGTGGCGTAGACTGTTTCTAATACAGTTGCCCTTTGACGAAGAAAGTTCAAAAAATCGTTTAAAGTATGGATCTCTAATTTGCTTCGATGCTCCTCCCAATTTCGGGCGGTCACCGAGTCCAACTTCGATGAGCCTAGGTAAATGATAAACGTGTCCCAACCATCGGTTGGCTCGCCTAACGACTTTAAGGCACTTACATTTTTGGAAATTGGATCAACCAAGTTGCGCAGGCCCCGGTCGGACTCCCTAGACAGCGCCTCAATTGAAAATAGACACTTAATGTGTTCATTAATTAATAGACTCTTATTATTATACCTATCGCAAAGCAACGACCAAGCAGTTTGATAATTATCTGCCGAAACGCTGACCGAATTAATAACCGCTAATGCGGAACCCTCCAAATATGTTTTTAAATAATGAAATTTACTAATATTGTCTAAACTATCATTGTTTTGAATGAGAGACACACATATACATATCTCGAAACTGAAGCCATTTACTAGTGTCGCCACTGTAAGGAGGAATTTTTAACGGCGGCAGTTTAACGTGATTTGTAATAGAAGCAGAACTGCCGCGGCATGAAGATTCGTCTCCCTGTTTTAATTTGCTATCATTATAAGCTTCTAAGAATTGCTGAGCGGTTACGATCAGCTGGAAGAACTGGTTTTCTGTTTGTTCCCTTTCTTCCATCTGTTTTGATAAATCGGAATCTAATCCTTCGATTTTACTTTGAACTTCGTCGAAAGTGTAGCTTAACTCTTGAAATTTAGTTAATCTTAAACTCAACTCATTATTAATTAATTTGTTACGCTCAGTTACACTATCGAGACATTTTAATGGAGTTAAAAACCTTTCGAATAATGTTATGCGGCTCCTTATTGTAGCCCTTTGCTTTATAAGCTCCTTTAATTCGGTCATAATGTGGGCGCAAATAACAAAACAAGTATAAGTTATAGAGTAATTAAAAAGAATCCAACCTCGTAACGGTGAGTCGAACAGCTGACCGCTGATAACTTTTAACAGATATTCACAAGTATGTACCGGGCGGCCGAGCGCTGCCTCACAGTGTCACTCGGTGCGCTTGCTGGAAACCGCTGAGCACAATCGTTGGCAAAGGCACTTGTTCTCGCCGTCTCATTCGTCGATATTTTTCTGAAATAGTCGGTAGTTACGTTTAAGTATATATACAAAATTTATTTCTTTATTTGAGCGGGTCTATTATTTGTTCAATTTTAATGCAAATTGTAATTTTCTAACAACGAGATTGGACACTGTGTAACACTGTGTTAACACACTATATTTAACTTTAATTTTGAAGATGATGGAATAGTTTTATAATGTAAATACTTATTTTTTATTTACTTTTAGACTGTAATGAATTTGTTTTAATGTAAATCTTGCATAAAGTTAGAATAATTACTAAGATTTGTTAACAAATATGAGTAGGTCGGTACCCTACGATCGAAATCTCACACACTAACTGCACCGGAACTATCGCACTCAATCAACACAACTCGAAAACAAATACTTTCACAAGGATAGGATTAATTTTATTAGGAACGGGCGTACTTCCCTCGGATCCAGTGTTCACTTATTCCGGGATATCTTGCCTTCCTGGTTGCATCATCTAAATCACGTCGGGGTCACCATAAATATGTTTGGTATTCCGGGGCTCTTCAATAAGTATGACTTCTTTCGGTAGGTAACGTTTAATCAGCTTTTACAATGAGTATATATTATGTATAAATTTTCAAAATTAACAAAATGGTATATAATACAAGGCAGCGCTTGAACGTGCCGTGCGGTAGGTTTCTATGTTGAAGTTATTTTTCTAATGTTCGTGGTGGGCGTTACGACCACGGGCCGTTTACGAAGACCGTTGTATGTCTTGCGACGGTGAACCGTTTATAGGTACAGCTAGGTAATGGTGAGCGTAGACAGGTGGTATCCGAGGGGATTTCCGCACTGAAAAAAAAAGGGGCTTAGTTTTAATTTTGTATATTTTATTTTTTTATGTTTTATCTCTTATACATAATAGAAAAATACTTTTTTAATTCATTGTATTGTTGAAACGAAGTTCTGGCAGTATAATTAGAGTTTCAAATTTTGTTTCAACAATTTAAAAGACCATAATTTATTTTTACCATTTACGACATTTTATTTCAACTAAACATTACATTACCAACTGACCCACTGCATTTCTAGATCTAATCATAATTATAAATTTAATCTTACATCTTGAATTGCAGTACCCAAATAAATAAAGGACATTCCATACAAAAAGTACCCAAAAAAAAAAGTGCCGGCCAACAAAAAAAAAATGGTTTTATCGGTTAGAGAATGACATTTTAAGATTTTTTTCTTTAGACGGCTAAGAGCTAAGACCGATTACTTATGAGTTATATGACTTATAAATAATAAAAAAATGCATTTATACGAGTTCGTGTGAACAATTTTTACTTCATTACTATAGCAAAAATCAAATAATGATGATAAAGAATAACTTAATCTCGCTTAATAATAATATAATATGATAAAAAGCCTAATTACATACAATCATCATTAGGTACCTAAGTACCTACGTAGGTATTTATGTGTAGGTATAAGTGTTATAAAATATATGTTAAGAAAAAGACTTCATTTCGTTACCTACGTGGCTTTATTCATATGTTATAATTCTGCAGGTCTTACGATAACATTTTCTAAACCTAATGGTGTTTTATGGGAGGTTGTTGGTGCCTCGCGAACGTCATGTACCACACTATGCACATAGTGTGGGAACAGCAGCCCACCGTTCTTTTGCCAACATTGCATGAGCAGTAATAATACGGTATGGTATCACGGCCCCTCAATGATGTGTCGATGCCGAGATTGTACTCTTCCTCTGATAATTATTATGTTTTCTCCCAATTCTCTGACGTGTTCTATTAAAAGTCCATCGCCAAGCTCGACCGTAAAAACACCATTTGGATTAATATGCTCGCCGTAATAGCTTTTAGCTTGTTTTATTTGATAACTACCCAAACTAAATAATATTAAATCCTTTTCTGAGAGCCTTGGAAAATCATCAAACTCGGGCATATCGGCGGACATCGGCTGCAATTGTGCTCGTCTTCTATTATAATTATGCCTTACAACTATATCAGTCAGCGTGTTAGGGATTGACATTCTATGGTTTATTATGGCCAAAAAGGATTGGGCATGAATATTGTCATTTATTAGTATATGGTATGCATTAATTATAGCAGCCGCTATCTTAAAACAATCAAACATGTGAGGAAGCGAACGATTTATATTGACATGTCTCAAAAATCTAAAATCCCGTTTGAAACGCCCATTAACTACCTCCACAACCCACCGACAGATAGTTACAAGGCGAGTTTTATTTGCTTGCATCGTTGTCAGCTGGGTTTCATTTCGGAGCTTGGCTTCCGGCATATGTGCAGAATATCTCAGTGACCCCATTGGTGATATGGCATCTCTGAAGCCGCGATCCAAAATAAATACATCACCTTGTCTAAAAAACCAATTAAAAACACCATCGCCGTTGTCAGTTTCATTAGTAATAATGTCGTTCATAACTTGGGCATCGGATGTGGTAGCAGCATGAGGTTCAGATACGTCAATAATGTGTCCATCACAACAGACTATCAAAAAAGGTTTTGAAAAGTTGCGAAATTTATGCAGGCTGTATGACTTTCTCTGAAAAAAGTAATTACTACTTTTTTGCAGATATATATAGGTACCATCACAAATTGCGATTGCCTTTCGTTCAGATAGAGGGCTTTCGGGATTTCCAAAAAGTGCTTCTGGTAATGTGAGGTTTCTCTGTGCTACATCCTCTCGCGTTAGATGGTCACCCTAGGTGCAGCGGAACAAAATCTTCTATCAATGCCACACGGCCAGTTTTTAACATACGCGCAAAAGTGGATTCACTTGTTCTAAATATCGATGCTAATCGAGCGTTAGAATCTCCAGTTCTGAGTTTCACTAGTACTGCTGCTAATATATATTTTTTATTTTTATTATTATCTAGACAGGTTATTATAGACAGCAAGTCAGCAAACTGAGCATGTGTAAGACCTGTCCAAGTATGGAACTCATTATCATTTATTACTTCGTAGTGTTCAAAGTTTAAGACTGCTGTAGTCACATGAGCTTTTAATATAGATAAGGCTCGAACTATATGGTTCGCTGTAAATGCGGCAATATTATTTTGTTGTATAGCAAGCAGATGCCATAAATCTTGCTGCAAATGTTCACCACAAACACGGCTGTTTTCTGATAATAATAAATTGTACTGGCTAAGCATTCTCAGTACAATGCTATCAAGGATTCGATGCCTAGTACTATTTTCACAATGCTGAAAAACGCAAGTTCGTCTTGTATCTGGACTACGTACAAATCCAGGTAAAGTCATTAGCGAGGGCTGAGAGGTAGAAGATTGATCGTCAACTGGATCTGCTTCTAAATTATCTTCGACGTTCTCAGCATGATCTTCTTCTCGTAAGATTCTCTGGTACATTCTCTCCGCTCGTTGCCAGCAAGGTCATCAAATGAAATCCGTAGGCATCGCCTAAAAAGTAAAAACAGTAATAATTATATTATCAAACCATTACATCAATAGTTAAAAATATGAGATATAGGCGGCTAGTTCAACTGAATCAGTGAAATGTATGTATTTAAAAAAATAAAACATTTTTGACGCGTACCTGCTGATCTAGTAGCTCTTGAATAATAATCTGGGCTATTTCAATATGATTCTCTTCTCGAGAAATCCAAGTGTAGCTCCGTCGATTCTCCACAGATTCACGACACCTTGTACATAGTCTTTCCGCCAGTATTAGGTATGTTAAAACACACTATTCGCAAAACAAATAAGTAGCCGTCTGATGTAACTAAAGTCGCATGGATAACTAAACTGCTTAACTTACAAGAATGGTCCTAAACAAATTGAACTTAGCAGGTAACAATAACGAGAGAGAAAGAGACAAGACAAGGTAATGATAACGGTAACCGGAGGGAAAGAGACGAGGTACACGGCCGATCCCAATGGCCGATCCTTCCGATACATGTTGTAACATGCTCATTTCGATGGTCTTGCGTTTTTTAGGTTTTTAATTATTCAGAAATAGTTAATTGATACATAAATGTAAATGCTCATTTTATGATTTTCGGATCCATTTTGTTTCTAAAAGTTGGTCGTAGACGTTTGTTGTAATAATAAAAAAAAAAAAAGATTATTTGCCATAAGATGACACAGTTTTTTTTACTGGCTTTAATTTTTGGGTACATTTTGAATGATGTCCTTTACTGCATACAATATATTTAACACTTGTAAATATATTAAAATTTCCATCTACGCGTACGCTTTTCTTCCTTAGTTACAGCGTTTTAAAGGTATGTGATTTAAAAAACTGTTTGCTGTAACTAACCAAACACGTACTTATAATAACTTTGGATAAAAAGTTTACATTGCAAATGGTGACTGGCAGTTAAAAAAGCCTATGTTTCAAAAATGGTATCAATATCATTGATAGGTCATCAGACACTATTAATTTTTTTCCGAAATTAATAAAGTTTTTTGGCTCTGGTGAACAAGTGTAATATGTCTACTTACAGCAAATATGCTTTCCTACGTCGATATGTACAAAAGAATAATAAAAATATGTTTTTTTTCCTTTTGTACAACTATGCTCAATGCACTGCAAGGACTGCACAATAAACCCCAGCGGAAACTAAACGCAGCGACAATATCACATGTCACTGCAAGGCCAGCTTCAACTAACGCCAAAACATTACGTCTAATGTGTCACTCGAGATTGATTGCTTTTACATATTAGAAAATTTGATTAAACAGTAAATGACATAAATAAAAGTGAAAATAGTTTAAAAGCATGAGAGAGATAGAAATAAAC